TTCTCCAGGCGAGTTTTAGACCTAATTAGTCAAGTCCGATATTAATACTACTGTATTAATTATTTTAAAATGTTTAAACTCCTAAAAACGGACATAGGGCCTAAACTTTTATTTTAAAATACCTTATTCAATACACTCAGCACTACGGGTATTTGCTGATTCTGACTTGCCACTCCGTACTTAGTGCCAAAGCTATCATGGTTGATATCCTGAAGTGATGTATTTCACAGTCTTACTGGACTGTTTATTATTTTCGGCCTGTGAACTTTACATACCTGATTTGGCCTTTTATTTCAAATCAATCATATATTTTTTTACTAACTGTTTTAGACTGGCAGGCATGTAGGTCATGTACTGTAGCAGGATATCACATGATCAACATGGTGTTTATGTGTTAATAATAGTGATTTAATTGGATGTTAGCACAGTTAACAAAAAATAATATCAATATTAATAATCTATGTTCATCTAATGGAATATCCATGGTTCAGTCAAAAGATGGGGAAATAAATAAATTAAATACAGTAAGTACAATATGTTTAAATGGCTGTAAATAGAATATTCTAATATTAATTATATTCCTACTCATTTTACGATTTTTCCCAAAAATGCTTTATGGCCTTACAACAAAGTACTAATGTATTTAGTTTAGTTTACATTCTGTAACATCTAATGTCCTACTCCTTTAATGACACAACCAACCTATGTATAATGTTTTAATTCAATAGCATTATTAAAGAAATGCTAATTGTTGTATTCATGGTTTTGATTACCATTATTGATTATATTTATTTATATCCACTTCTAAAAAAATATATTTTAAATTTTAGCAATTTTAGTGAGTCATCAATTTTAACAATGTCACTGATAATTATGATCAAGATGTATTGTCCTCGCACTGAGGAAGAACACAGGCGTGTTTGAAATACTTGTAATTAAATAAATTATATTGCTTCATATTTTTTTCCACAACTCAAAGCTGTATTTTATTACTGTCTTTTTATAGGCCTATATAGTTGTAAGCATTGCAGCAAACATTTTGTATATTATATATATGTAATTATATATATAAAACAGTGAACTAAGTAATAACAGTAAAAATAACAAAATAAACAATGTTAGTTTATTGTTATTACTGTACTTTGCACATTCACTCGTTATGCAGTTTGATGACCACCTATTTTACTTCGTAATGTTTTCTCTCACGTTGAGAAAGTTTTGAGGACAGAACGATATACAGTATTCGTGTTTCTGTTATTATAATATTAAAATGTAAATATTATATATATATAATG